CACACACACACACACACACACACACAGACACACAAACACACACACACACACACACATAGACACACACACATAGACACACACACACATAGACACATACACACAGACACACACACATACACACACATAGACACACGCATGCACAGTCACACATTCACACACAGACACACGCACACAGACACATACACACACATAGACACACACACACACACACACATACACACACATAGACACACACATGCACAATCACACATTCACACACACACACATACACACACACACACAGACACATTCACACACATACACACATATAGAGACACAGACACACATGCACACACATACACACATACACACACACACACACACACACACACAAACACAAACACACATATGATTTCAACAGACAAAAGGCAAATGTTTATCATAGATATAATGGATGGACAATGAACATAGATGAAGCAGGCAACATTCTGAACATTTGAATGAAGTACTCAGGACATATGTCTGAATTACAGACCATTAACATTGTCACTATAGTGCTGTGCACCTTACTGAGAAACCTTTCCTGAGACAGATACAGACAGGTCTCCTATAATATAATAGTTGCATTCTTGTGTGACCTTGCACAATAGAAAATTGTGCTATAGGGAAATCGCTATACCTACACAGCAGAAAGTTCACTATTCATCAATCGCGTTACAGCCAATTTGTGTTAATGAAACACGCGTTCTGGCAGAACTACCTGTGACGGAGAGTATTTCTAAACAAGATCACAGCACAGCCCAGACCGGGCTCAAACCCTAAATCCCTAGCTCAGAAGGCCACTGCTATATCCTTAGCACCACAGGAGATGCAGCAATGATGTAATATTAATGCCAGACCTTTTTTAATGTACAGACACACCAAGATGAACACCCCACCCCCTTCATTCATTTCCTCTGCTGCCATATTAAAGTAAACCCTCACCTCCAGGTCTTTTAATGAAGGCCCATCTAAAGAAGAACAGGTGTATTAGCACTAATCCAACTGCAAGAGTGTGATTTGAACTCAGCACATAGAACATTTCCCTGAATTACAGCCCAGGGACATCACCATTACGGCTGAGAAATATTTCCTGATATAGATGGACAAAACGTTTCAATACAAAGTTCACAGCACCCCAGAGGGGATTTAAACCCACAAACAGTGCCTTCAGAGGCCAGCACCTTACCCATCAGGCTACTGAGGCTAGACAATACCAGCCCCCTTATGTAATGCCAGATACCCAGCAATTATTTCACAGGGTTTAATTTGCTGCAGTCCTTCAGCAATTGCTCATTACTGCGGTAAAATATTGATGGGATGTGAAATGTAACAACTTTTACAGAGATGAATTGTTGCTTGATCCAGGTCAACGCTTCAGTCATTTACAATGCAGCAAATGGACTCAGACTGCTCCATCACTGAAGAAGGGTCACTGGACCCAAAACCTTAATGCTGCTTTCTCTCCACAGATGCTGCCAGACCTGTTGAGTTTCTCCAGCAATTTGTCTCCAGCAAATGCACTTTGAATCCAACATTTATGTTACTTATGGACAGTGATTGTCCAAGAAAGACTTTCCTGCTCCTCTGACGCTGTCTGGCCTGCTGTGCTTTTCCAGTCACACACCTACAGACTCTGTCTTCCAGCATCTGCAGTCCTTATTGTCTTTGAGGAGAGAGGAAGATTATTGATCAGGTGTGACTGTACTGATATATCTGAATGTGGGGAATTTGGAAAACTGTAACAGGATCTCATCAGAGATAACAGAATCAACACAGAGTATACTGGAGAAACTCAGCAGGTCTGGCAGCATCTTTGGTGGGAGAGAGAAGAGAGAGAGAGAGAGGAGAAGGGGGGGGGGGGGGGGGCGGTGCAAGAGCAGGGAGAGGGAGACAATGTTTTGAGCCCTGCGTGCTTCTTCTTCAGAATCTCCACAGATGCCAGACCTGCTGAGCTTTTCCAGAAACTACTGTTTTTGTTTCTGATTTCCAGCATTTGCAGTTCTTCGGAATTCTTTTTATTTCCAAGTCAAGATAGCTTGGAGGGGAACTTGCAGGGGGCGGTGTTCCCATGTATCTGCTGGCCTTGTCCTTCTAGATGGAAGTGGCCGTGGGTTCGGAAGGTGCTGTCTGAGGATCTTTGGTGAATTTCTGCAGTGCATCTTGCAGATAGTACACACTGCTGCTACTGAGCATTGGTGGTGGAGGGAGTGGATGCTTGTGGATTATAAGAAGCATTTTTTGTTAAATTTTTGTGTTTTTCCTGCCCAACAGAAGCTGGTTGTTCTCGGCAGTAAAAAAAAAACACAGTTTGAACTTGGATTAAAAAATAGCAGTTACTTTCCTGCAGCTGTTGCTATGAACCATGACTTTTGATTTGAAAGATTAATTGATAACTTATAGTTTATAAATCAGTGTCTCCAGGATTAATGCTAGGTGATATACTGAGCGCAGTGTCCCAGGGACTAATCTTTCTCAGTCCAAGAAAATCAGTTCGTTTGTTCGTTAGGGCAGTGAAACCATCCAGTTCAAATTCCGGTCCCATGTGAATTTTTACTGAGCAGATATTTGGATGGTTGATCTAATTGACATAATTCTGTTGGCCAATCCCCACAAAAAGGTGTGGCATTTACATTGACATTGTGTTCAGGTATTTTCCTGTGTTTCTAAGACAGACTGTTCCCAGGCAGCAGTCTGAATCCTCAAGGATTTGGGCTTAATCGGTGACTGGAAGAGCAACAACTTGCATCTACATAGCGCCTTTAAAGCATTTCAGCTAGTCCCATTCGACAACTCCACAATGGGTACCCAACACCAAACCACTTCTGGAAATATTAGAACGTATAGCTGTCAGTTCTCAAGTCTGCCACCTGGTGGAGAATCCTCAATGTTCGGTTTTCCCATAGTAAATGAAATTGACAATTTTCATGGAATCTGTGAACCTTTTCTTGGGAATTCACAGCGTTGATGGAATTGTGGTTTACTCTAAAGTAAGCTCTGAGATTGTTTTTTTAAATGCATTCATGGATGCAGGACTCTGTGATTGATGATCTGTTCCCAGGGATGTGCACTGAGACAGCCACTAACTGTGCCAGGAGGCCATCAATTCAGTGAATGGTGCTGGCTGAAAATTGTTGGTCTCACAGTGAAAGGCCTTGTCTGTAAATAAGCATTGTACAATCCAAGGTCAGGGGCTTCAGTCAGAGGCTTGTACTGAAGCTTGGGCAGTTGCTACTGAGATGCAATGTGGAAAAGGCCTCAGACTAAAGCCTTTTAGCCAGAGTACACTGATGGGACAGGGAACTGTGGCAACTCTCATTCTGTATGTTCAACACGTACCATATTGTGTAAATATTACCTGTATTTGTAAATGCACTGAACAGTATGCAGAATTGGGAAAAAAAAATGGTTTATACTTTTATGTGATGCCAACTCCAAATGATCAGGTCATGCAATTTTTGTAAATCTTATGAAGAAGGTATATTTTAGGAAGAAGGTGATGAATGAGTTGGGACATGGAATGGATTGGTCTTTTATGAGCTGTCTGAAATTCAGTCTCAGTGTTGTCTATAGTCAGGTGTGCTAAGTACAGGAGGACTGTATCCGGATAAATTTCCATTGGAAATAGCCCTCCTTCAGGAAGTGAATTAACCCAACTCACTATTGCTATCACACAGTCCAAAGCCCTGGAAGTAACCGCCACAGAAAACACTGCTAGTGGAATGTGACCCAAATCTTCATAGTTGCAGACTCCCCGATTGAGATCACTTTGTGCATGAGGGTTTCAGGGGATGGAGCAGTTAAAAATGCTATGTGAAGGTTTCAACATTTATAAGTAAATGAGTAACCTGGGGTCAATATTGACGTGAAAAAGTCTGCAAGGTTTTCTGTTTGTCCAGTCAGTTGCTGGACCCAGGCAGTTTTGGCTTGCTGTCATTTTGATTCATTTTGAGTGATGGAGCTGTTGGTATTCTTGCTTTGTGCCTCTTGGTGCATGTCAGTTACCGAACAAGCACCTTCGTAAGTAATGCTTTTATCTTTGCACTTTGCTACCCAATACTGGGCTCTTCCTGGAGCTCTGGGCACTGTCCTGGGTGGTTTCCGTGCAGATGCATGGACGGGTAGTTAACTGGCTCCTCCCTGGCCCCTCGAGGCTGCTGAGGAGACAATTCAGTTGCTGGATGGGGTATATTTGAACCTTTGAGGGTCCCATCCACTCCACAGTTTATCTCGTTCACAGAGTGACCCAAACACACACTGATCCAAATCCATTATGTCCCACTCAAGGGGCAGAAGGGGATGGAACTTGAGAGCAATTTGCTGAAAGTATTCTTCTGAGAGGCATTTGTTCCTCCCATTGTAGCTATACTTCAACAACACATAGTTAAACATAGCAACCCTAGAAAATAGGAGTAGGATAGGTTCTTGTTGTACCATCCATGGCCAATTCTCTATCTCAGTGGTATCCTCCTGCTCCCTTTCCATTCCTCTCCATGCCATCAGCCCAGAAAAATCTTTCTTGAATACAATCAATGATGTGGCCTTCTGTAGCAGAGCATTCCAAAGGCTCACTACCCGCTAGGTGAAGAAATGTTTCCTCATCTCAGTCCTAAGCTGGCTACCCCATATTGTAAGACAGTGACTCCTGGTTGGAGACTGTTCAACCAGGGGAAACTCCTCCCTGCCTCTAGTCTGTCTACCTTGTTTGAGTTTTATATATTTCAATCAGATCCCCTACCATCCTTCCAAACTCCACAGGACACAACCCTGACCAACCCAACCTCTCCTCATACCTGCTATCCCTGGTATCAGTCTAACGAACCTTCACTGCACTCCTTCTCTGTGGTAGGTCTTTCATTTCTTAGGTAGGGAGTCCAAAATAGCACACGATGAAGTATTAAGGGTAAAAACAACAACTGTTTTGCCAGTAGGTAGATTCCTCAGAGAATCTTCACCAGATTTTATTCAAACTCTACCATCCTGAAAGATGGATTTATAACAGGATGAGCAGAACTTCCCATTCCGGTCATAAACCTGATGTTAGGGGTCAAGCAGGGGTCCTGGACATGAACCATGTTGGGGACAGTAACCTGATTGGATCCCCACCTGACCAATTAGAGGCCAGGCTTGCTGTCTAATCGAGGTTGGTAGGCGGAGTAAGGAGCTGCCAGAGAGCCCCAAACCAGGTAAAGTTGGGGGAGGGGGGAAGGGTTCAATAGATGGCAGAGATGGCAGCAGGGCAAATGGGTATCCTGTTAAAAGAAAAACACCCTCCTCAGTCCTTGTCTCTGCCTATGAGAGAATTAAAGAACATTTTTGCCACTGAATCCCCCAAGGATTAGGTCTCAAATGATGGATCTTTGAACCTAGGAACTAAAATTGGAAAGGACCTCCAGTGTCTCTACTGCAGAGTGGGATTCCCATTACAGTGTGGAATTGTAGCCAGGAAAGGGAGAGGAGGATTGTCAAAGCAATGGCCCTTAACCACCTTATCTCCCATTTTAGGGGCATGGGGGAGGGGTACTGAAAGATCATCTCCAGAGCTCCCAGACATCATGGGGTCCTGCACATTTCTCCTTCAGATCTTGCTCCAAGATTTTCTCAAGGCCTATTTGATTTTTTATTGGTTTTCAGGCCCTCGCTGGGTTTGACTCAGAAGCCAAACTGTTCTCAAAGTGTTACACTCTTTCAAGAAGGTTTGAGAAACTCAGTACTGGGCAAAGGATTCAATGAGAATGAACCAATTTTCCTTACATGCACCCCCCAACCTAATTCAGTAATTATAGAATCCCTACAGGGTGGAAGCAGGCTATTCAGCCCATTCCAACCTTCCGAAGGAACTATCCTTATCCTTTCCCAGTAAGTCTGCATTTCCCATGGCTAACCCACGCTGGATGCTATGAGGCAGTGTTGCATGGCCAATCCACCTAACTCACATCTTAGAGCTGTGGGAGGAAACCCATACAAACTCAAGGAGAATATGCAAACTCCACACAGGCAGTTGCCTGAGGCTAGAATTGAACCTGGATTCCTAGATCCATAAGGCAGCAGTGCTAACCCCAGGGCCACCTTTGATGTCAATTGAAAGAAAGCTTGAATTAATGGCCTAATCCATTAATCCATTGTCAATTGCCGGGAAAAACCCATTTCGTTCACTAATGTCCCTTAGGGAAGGAAGCTGCTATCTTTACCAGGCACAGTGGCTCAGTGGTTAGCACTGCTACCTTACAATGCCAGGAACCCGGGCTCAGTTCCTCCTGATATGGCTGACATGAACGCAAACCCAAGCTACAAAAGGCCCTTTTTCTGGATCAACTGGACTCTGAAACATTTATCTCCGCATGTAAACATTTCTTCATAACATAGAGAGCACACACGCAATCCACATACGTGGCCAAACACTTCAAATCTGTAACATTTGTAAACACAACTCCAAAGCAATTAACAGAAGAAGAAAACTGGACTTGTCCCCACTCCCCAATAATTGTCCTCCCATTCCCTCAAATCTCTCTACTTGAACTTTTCACCCAATACAACCTGGTGGGCAAGTACGAAAGGGGAAGAAAAGGGATAACTATTCCTTGTTTGCTTATTGCACTCCAGCTTTAGTTAATAAACCTCAAAGACAGGCCTAGGGCAATGGTTGAACTAAATAAATGTAACCATTATATTGGAGAAAACAATGAGAAAATCAGGTTTGCGAACAATTAAGATATCAGTGTAAAAGTGACTTGAGGGGGGAGTCCCTACTTATTCAAACTTTCCCTCTCTCTCACTGTTTGTTCTGACAGGTCTCTCAATAGGCACAATTAAGTGAGGATTGAGTGCGTGTTTCCTCAGGGTAAAGCCAGGCTCAGAGGCTCTTGTGCCGCAATGGTACTGTCCCTAACTCTGAGCCAGAAGGCCTAGTGTTTATATACCACATGTCCTACACTGTGTGTTGTAATATACCTGAACAGGTTAATTAGAAATCCATAGAGGGCATGGCGGGGAGGGTGGGGGGAGCAGGGTCAGTTTCTGTCTCTCCTGTTGCCACTCTCTCATTTGTTGGAAACGTTTTGCAGCTGTCAGGGAGTCCTGGAGAGCTGAACCCTGGCTGCTTTTATGTCTGTTCTTTTCAAGAGTCTCTATTGTAGTGTAGCTGCAAGTTTTCCCTCCCCGGCAAGGTCACTGAGGGGCAACGTGAGGGGGAAAGGCTGGTCAATTGGGCCAAATAGTCAACTCCTATCCCTAATTCACATGTTCCTGTGCTATGTTCCTATACACCAAGTTACAATTGTTTATGGATTACACAGACCTAAAGAATGGGTGACAAACTTGATTATTGATCTATGTCAAGCCAACTTATCTTTTTTTCAATGTCATTTAGGACTGAAATGAGGAAGGATTTCTTCAGGTGGTGAATCTTTGGAATTCTCTACCCCAGAGGGGCTGTGGAAGCTCATGCATTGAATATATTCAATGCAGGGAGCTATAGCTTTCTAGGCATGAAGGGATGGAGGATAGTGGAGGAAAGTAATATTGAGACAGACGCACATTCATGATCTAAAATGGTGGTTCAGTCTCAACAGGTCAAATGGCCAACTCCTGCTCCTCGGTCATATGTCCTATGTGGGAACAATGGTTTCTGGAGTGCACAGACCTATAAAATGGATGACCTGACCTTTATTATTGGTCTATGTCAAGGCAACTTGCTTGTTTAAATGCCTCCAGTTGATGCCCTGACACTGAAACCTGAACGAAGCATGTGCAGGAAGAGGACCACCTAGTGCTGAGGGATAAATGAACACAACATTCTGTCTAACCAAACGATCAAATCCTTCGAACATCTCAATCAGACTTACCCTTCAATTTTTGAAACTCAAGTTTTGACAAACCCAGTCCGTGCAACTTGTCCTCTGTATATTAAACCCTAAGGGGGGAAAGCTGATTGATTGTTGTTCCCCAACTGTATTTCTCCAGATACTTGATCACTGCTCCAAAGATTGTTCGTATTGGTGTGAAGGAAACAGTAACCATCCAAATGTTTGAGGCTCGCGGGAATTTTGATGCCTCCATTTACTTACTGAACCAAAGAGAGATGGTAGTGTGCTCCGACAGGCACACCATCAAACTCAACCATACCAACAACTTTGCTGAAGTCTTATTTATCCAGGTAACCAGCACTGTATGAGAACCACTTGGAATTACCCAGTTCTTTATATTATCGTATTAATGGCATGGTTAGCACTGCTGCCTCACAGCTCTAGGGACCCAGGTTCGATTCCAGCCTCGGGCGACTGTCTGTGTGGAGTTTGCACATTCTCCCCGTGTCTGCGTGGGTTTCTCCCGGGTGCTCTGGTTTCCTCCCACAGTCCAAAGATGTGCAGGTTAGGTGGATTGGCTATTCTAAACTACCCTAAGTGTTCAGGGATGTGTAGATTAGGTGGGTTATAGGGGGATGGGTCTGGGTGGGATGCTCTGAGGTTTGGTGTGGACTTGTCAGGCTGAAGGGCCTGTTTCCACACTGTAGGGATACTATGATAGCTCTTAGTGAAGCCTTGTGTTTGGTTTCCTCTCAGCTCAAATACTTCGCTGGATATCCTACCCACTCCCACCCCCCCATCTAGAATAACAGGATGACTATAATACGTGAGGAGCCATTTAAGGCTATCATACCTTTAATGGTTCTCTGCAAGATCTATCCTATTATTATCTCTGGTTTCTATTTCAGCATTACTCCCCCTTCAGGTATTGATCCAATTTGCGCTCGAGGACTGCTATAGAATATGTTTCTATCATCAATCCAGACAGCGCACCCTGGATCGCAGCAACTTGCTGTGTGAACGTTTTACAAATCTCGTTTCACCTCAGCTTCTTTGCTAATTTCCTCAAATCTGTGTCCTCAGTTATTGAGGCTTCTGCCACTGGAAGCAGTTTGTAGGATTCGTATCTCCTCAATCAAACCCTTCGAGATTTTAAGCAAAACTCTCTGGGATCTTCTCTCAGCCCCACGCACGGCTAAATTTTCTTCTCCCTGGTACCATTCCATTATATCGCGTGCCCCCACCCCCCCTGCCTCCCCCCGAACCCTCCACAAAATTTTGACATCATTCAGGAACTGCAGTGCCCCAATATTGGACACATTACCCCCTTGAGTTCTAACTAACCTGTATTTTATTGAGGACTTCCATTACCTCCTCGATATGGCCACCTTCTCACTGAGGATTCAGGGAAAGTCCCCACACTGCAAAACCCCAAATCTCCAGACCTTCGTGCCAGAGGTGGGAGAGTGATGTGGGCAATAACCGGTGCTGTGGTCACCAGCCTGGGGGCCCACAAAGGCCTGCTGCGTGCCAAAACGGTTAAAGGCCTTGTCTCGTCACCTCCAGAATGCCAGCCCAGTGAAGGTAACAAAACAACAGCCCTCTAGCCTTCACTCCTCATGCTCCCTCTTATCCTACATGGTCTCCATGCCCTATTCATGCCAGGTCACACCACCTCATGCCCCCTCCCTACCCACTTATTTCCATACAATCTCATGCCCTCCATTGCAACACATGCCCCTCCACCCACCCCTCATATCCCTTTATTGCCCTCTACCACCACCCTCTGTCTCCTACCATCAAGCCAATTTTGAATCCAATTGGCTAGATCCCCCTGGATCCCATGTGATCTAACTTTACTAACCAGGTTTACAATGTGGAACCTTGTTGAAGCCCTTGCTAAAGTCCAGGTAGACAACATCTACTGCTCTGCCCTCATCTAGCCTCTTGGTTACATCTTCAAAAAACTCAATCAAGCTAGTGAGACACGATTTCCCACACACAAAGCCATGCTGACTATCCCTAATCAGTCTTTGCCCTTCCAAATGTATGTAAATCCTGTCCCTCAGAATTCCCACCAACAACATACCCATCACTGGTGTCAGACTCACTTTTTCTCTGGAGTGTAGGAGGCTGAGGGGGTGACCTTATAGAGGTTTATAAGATTATGAGAAGCAATGATAAAGTGAATAGCAAAGGTCTTTTCCCCAAAACTAGAGGGCATAGGTTTAAGGTGAGAGGGGAAAGATTTAGAAGGAATCTAGGGGGCAGCTTTTTCACACAGAGGGTGGTGCGTGTGTGGAATGAACTGCCAGAGGAGGTGGGAGATACAGGTACAGTTATAACATTTAAAAGACATTTGGATAGGTACATGGATAAGAAAGGTTTGGAGGGATATGGGTAAATCGCAGGCAAATGGGACTAGTTTGGGAAAGTTTGTAGGCACGGATGGGTTGGACTGAAGGGTCTGTTTCCATGCTGCACTCTAAGACTCTATTGCAGACTGTCACACAGTTTGGCCTTTATTGCTCAGTGGGGGTCAAGCTGTAAGAAGAGGGCATGGTGTCTCAGTGGTTAGCACTGTTGCCTCACAGCACTAGGGACCTGGGTTCAATTCCATCTTCGGGTGACTGACTGTGCAGAGTTTGCATGTTCACCCCGTGTCTGTGTGAGTTTGCTCTGGTTTCTTCCCACAGTCCAAAGATGTGCGGGTTAGGTGGATTGCTCATGGGAAATTATCCAGGTGGACTGGATTAACCTTGGGGAGTACAGAGATAGGGTGGATCTAGGCAGGTGCTCTTTGGAGAGTTGGTATGGGCTGAATAGCCTGCTTCTATTTTGTAGAGAAGTCTTGTTACAATTGTACATAGCATTGGAATGGCCACAGCTGAGATTTGATCCCAGCATTTATAAAAAAGGACATTACAGGCACCTCAAAGGTGATTCCTAGGTGAAGGGGCTAACTTATCAAGAACGGTTAAACAGGTTTGGCTTTTATTCATTGTAGTTCAGAGGAATGAAAGGTGATCTTATTAAAACATACAACATCCTGAAGGGGCTTGACAGGGTAGATATTGAGAAGATGTTTCCAATATTAGGGGAAACACAGACAAAGGGACATAGTTACAGAATACAGGGACTCTCGTAGAAAACCGAGATGTATTTCTTCTCTCAGGGAATATTGAATGTTTGGAATTCTCTGTCCCAGGGAGTAGTGGAGGCTGGATCACTGGCAGTATTTAGAGAGAGGTATTTTTGAAGTATTGAGGAATCAGGGACTATTGAGGAACTGGCAGGATAGAGCAGTTGAGGCCTTGAGCAGATCAGTCATGATATTATAGACTGATGGGAGAGGCTTCAAGGGCTGAGTGGCCTGTTCCTGAACCTATTTCCAAAGTCCATCTGGTAAAAGGTGATCCTCGGAATGTGGAGACTGCAAACTGAGGACAAAGTCCTATCATTGTTCTAGTAGAGGAGGGAAAGGGGAGAGGGCAGAGCTACAGGAGAAGGATTGGACGTGGCTGAGGCCCCTGCCATAGAGTCATAGAGATGTACAGCATGGAAATAGCCCAGCCCATCCATTTAGACCAAATATCCTAAATTGATCCAGCCCCAAATGCCAGCATTTCGCTCATATCCCTCTAAACCCTTCCTATTCATGTCCCCATCCAGGTGCCTTTTAAATGTTGTAATTGTACCAGCCTCCTCCACTTCCTCTGGCAGCTCATTCTATACACGCACCACCCTCTGTGTGAAAAAGTTGCCCCTCAGAACCCTTTTAAATCTTTCCCCGTCACCTTAAATCTAGTTTTAGTCTCCCCAACCCAAGGAAAAGACCTTGCCTATTTACCCTAGCTATATCCCTTGTGATTTTATAAACCTCTATAAGGCCACCCCTCAACCTCCAACACTCCAGGGAAAATAGCTCCAGCCTTTTCAGCCTCTCCCTATAGCTCAAACCTCCAACCCTGGCAACATACTCGTAAATCTTTTCTGAACCCTTTCAAATTTAACAAAATCTTTCCGATAACAGGGAGACCAGAACTGCACGCAGTATTCCAATAATGGCCTAACCACTGTCCTGTACAGCCACAACATGACCTCCCAACTCCTACACTCAATGCACTGACCAATAAAGGCAAGCATACCAAACGCCTTCTTTACCACCCTGTCTACCTGCGTCTCCACTTTCAAGGAACTATGAACCTGCACTCCAAGGGGAGGGAATCCGCGGTTGAGGTGAAAGGAAGACCTGTGTAAAGTTCTGTTGTGGAAGCTAACGTAATTGGTGGAGGTGTGACAGAGGCAAAGGAAGTGGGAGAACGGAATCAAGATTAGAGCAAACAACAGAATAGGGGCAAAAAGTGGCAAAAAAAATTCAACAGTTGTGTCTGTCTGCGGTCTTATGCCTTTTCCTGCCAGTGTTCTGTGGGGTGGGTGGGTGGGTGGCGGGAGGTGTGTACGGAGGTGATCTATGATCATCATGTTTCCCATGTGCTGCGTTGTATAAGGTATTGGAAACAAAAATGCTTGGAGACTGCATTAAGCTCCACGTCTCATAAAGACTTGGTGGGGAAATGAGGAATATGGCCTGAAGTCCCAGTGGAGACGGCTGTATCACCCATGGTTCCTGATGGTCTGTTATTGTGTTGAGGTAGAGAATGTAGATTGCTGTCAGGCACTAACCTATATCTTGCCGCTTTTTGTTGAGACTCACTAGTGATTCACTGTTAACCAAATAGACCCTGAGACACAGTGTGGAAAGGAGGCCTGGTGACAATTCTCTATCCCAGACCATTAGCTGGACCAACACCACACAACACACTCTTCCCCAAATGTTCCCCTGTCACTTGGACTGCTCCACTTCATTGGCACCCAGGGCCCTAACTGGCATTTTGTGTGGTGATTGCTGCCATCCTGATGAAGTGACCATGTCGCTGGGCTTACCTTGGGGTTTTCACTGGGACAGTACAGGAACAGCCCCTCTCAAATTCCAACATCGATGTTTGCTCTTGAACGCCATGTAGCATGGAATCAATGAGTCTGCCCCAAAACCATGACACCCAGAGCACCACAACTAGAACCTTCTCCTCCTACCATCCGCACATCCCAATCTCCTCCTAACTCCTGGAAGAGTCAGAACACCATTGGCCAAGACACAAGGGCCAATGAGCAGAAACCTTTCCTCTTTGGAGGATCCCCGTACTGTAGATCCAGTGTCGGCTGTAAAGACACTCTCTGATTGGACCCTCTTGTCCAATGGGGCAGGACGAGAGAAAGAGAAGGTTTTCTGAGGCTGTAGATGATCCTCTGAGGTGAGCTGTGACCTCAGTAGTCATGCGCTAGTGGTCTGCTAGGAGCTTGGAGTGAGCTGCTCTCTACCGTTACCATCCTAGATACTCTCATCAGTTAACATTGTTTCAAAGTAATCTGGAAACCGGGGCCTGAGGCTTGTATATAAAATCTGAAGAGCGCAAACTGGGGCAGTATGCACTTCACCCCTAAAGGCCATATTTGGAGAGTAAGCACCATGCTCCACACCGCCATGGTATCTGCCCATCTTACTACTCTCTCAGAAAGTCTTTCGATGTGGTGTCAGATGTTCGAACCTGTATAACTTACATCCTCGCCCTCTGTCTCAGATCCTCCCAGAAAATGCCAGGCAATGTAAATTATCCAGCAGGAGCCGATATGTGACTCTGGCAGTGGAAATCCCCAAACTGCTTTCGAGGCGGAGAATGATTCACCTCCATGTTCGGTTGAAACCGTACTTCATTTTTATCGAAACCGACAAGCCCACTTACAGGCCCAACGACACAGGTAAAAGATTTGGGATCGTGCTGTGCTGCCAACCTTCACGCCCTTCCTAAACTAAGAGCTGCTGCAGCTGCAATGGATGGGTTCAGGGATGGCAGTGAGTGGCAAACGCTTTGTCAGAGACTTGTTTCAGTTTATTAACCTCAAACGTTTGCGTTGATGTCTCTGAGGGTGGAATGCTATTGGGGCCTGAGGGTTGTGGGAGTTGGGAGGCAGAATCAGACGAGGAAACTGGCAAGGCCCATCTCAATGTGAACATCATCGCAGTCCATCTTTTACATAAACTGTGAAGAGTTTATCGAGTTACTGTCACACGTAGTGAAAGGTTTGTAATGTGGTCTCTCAGCGCCATCTTAGGCACAGGGTACCCAGGTACAGATAGTTTAGGTGTTGGTACAGAGTAAAACAAATATAGGTAAGCATGGGAATAGAATTTAAAAAGTCCAGAATGATAATTAAAAATGACTATGAAGAACCTCAGTTCGAGAAGATGTTGTCCATTTCCACCATAAGTCTGTACCCAATGGCTCCAGATCACAAGGCAATGCTACCTCTACACGTAGGCCTCTGTGTAGGACTCGATCTGCAGCTGCTCCAGGACCCAACCTTCTCTCGCTCTGCTCCAACTTCAGGATTCGGCCCACGCTTGCTCTGTCATCGCCCTGGGACACGACCCGTGCTCCTTCTGTCATTGCCCTGGGACTAGGCCCTCGCTCGCTCTGTCATCGCCCTGGGACACAGCCCGCCCACCTCTGTCATCGCGCTGGGACTAGGCCCACACTCACTCTGTCATCGCCCTGGGACTAGGCCCTCGCTGGCTCTGTCATCGACCTGGGACACAGCCTGCATTTGCTCTCTCATCGCCCTCGGACTAGGCCCGCACTCACTCTGTCATCGCCCTGGGACACGGCCTGCCCACCTCTGTCATTGACCTGGGACTAGGCCTGCCCTCGCTCTGTCATCGCCCTGGGACACGGTCCACACTCGCTCTGTCATCGCCCTGGGACACGGCCCGCGCTCACTTTGTCATCGCCCTGGGACACGGTCCACACTCGCTCAGTCATCACCCTGGGACTAGGCCCGTGCTCGCTCTGTCATCGCCCTGGGACACGGCCCTCGCTTGCTCTGTCATCGCCCTGGGACTAGCCCTTACTCACTCTGTCATCGCCCTGGGACTAGGCCTGTGCTCGCTCTGTCATCGCCCTGGGACACTGCCCACACTCTCTCTGTCATCGCCCTTGGAAACGGCCCGTGCTCACTCTGTTGTCGCCCTGGGACTAGGCCCGCACTCACTCTGTCATTGCCCTGGGAGTAGGCCCGCACTCACTCTGTCATCGCCCTGGGACTAGGCCTGCCCTTGCTCTGTCATCGCCCTGGGACTAGGCCTGCCCTTGCTGTGCTGTCGTCGCCCTGAGATCAGGCGCACTCTCACTCTGTTCAGGGCGTGATCAGCAAGCACCTACTCTTCCACCTTGGCCCCCTCACATTCCAGGAGCCATCGCCACCACCTCACCACTGGCCTGAGCAGCATCCCCAGACGTGCTCCGGAGGGCACACCAGCAGGGTACAGCTGCATCGGGCACACTTACCGCCCAGGAATGGGCATCCAGTCCTCGACAGGGATCAGGCTGCTTCCTTGCATGGCTGCCACCTTGCTCTCCGAGCACGCACTCAGCTGGTCATAGAGTCATACAGCGTGGAAATAGACCCTTTGCTCAAACTCGTCCGAGCTGACCAAGGTTTTAAACATAAGACAAAAGAATCACGAGTGGGTAAGTTCAGGCTCACATGGACGCAAAAGAATTTTGGTTTAGATTTCCGCTCGCTGAGTAGGTTTTTCTGGCTGCTGAACCTGAAAGACAGGCTTCCTCTTAAAAATGAAAAAGGGGCGGATTTTTTCTCTCAGTGTTTCTTTTCAACTGGACTGGAGAGAGACAGCCTGTGAGAATGAGATTGGAGAGGGACAGCCCGT